GGCTAGAGGTAAAAATTTGATTGTTGAAGTCTTGGGATCAGCTTATAATATAATATGGTGCTCATGTAATTCTTTTACTTGGTAGCTAAAGGCTGTCAACACTGTCAGTTTTTTTAGGTGGTGACTTACAGTGTTTGAGGAGATGCTGAGACATACAGTGTGACTGTGAGACATACCGAAACAGCAGGATGTGGCCCTTTGGCTCATTTTTATGTTATGTAATTTCCACTAATGTGCGTGTGAAATTTATTATTTATCTCTGATATGAGGTTCAAGATAATGGGGGGGGGGGCTAAGAATGAACAGTAAGGATGCGCTCGGTTGGTTTTGCTCTTTGCGCACATGTACTTGCGATATGACCAGGGCAAAGTCCGGCCTGTGTCCGTCTTCGCGCACCTCCCAGTGACGGAGATATGGCCTGAAGGCGGAGGTGGTGGGTTTCACTACCAGGTATCAAAGTGTGAAGCACGATGACCGACCAGCCCAGAAAAAAGCCATTATTTTCCAACAGATATCCATCAAAGTCTAAATAGCCTGTCAAACAGCACCGGTGAAGACTGACTGAAGTTATGCAGACTTATTTCTACTTTTATGGCAGCAGCGCCGGTAGCGATTTGCCTTTGGTTGAGGAAAACAGAGGGATAGCCCAGAGATCATCAATCACTTCAATGTCTTCTTGCGAACATTACAATTTAGACAAACGTTCAGGTTTCCCCTTTGAAACTCCCGACTCCCTGAAATGGTTGCCGATGTTGGTTGGTCAGACGCATTACTGCATATTAGATCTATATAATATAAACCATTTTCCACCGGATGAGAATTTGAAATCACGTGCATGACCAATCGGGTTAATTATTCGTTTGCTTTTGTATGGATAGCTGCGTGTTAACGTCACTGGTTGAACTGTCTGGCTCTTTGAAGAAGTTTGAAGTCTGGCTTGCAAGGTCTGCTACAAAAAAAAAAGCACCAGCGTTTTGTGGGTGTGTGTGTGTGTGTGAGAGAGAGAGAGAGAGAGAGAGAGAGACAGACAGAGAGAGAGAGAGAACGAGAGCGGGGCCTCAGCACGGCGTATCGTATGCCACATGTGTAACACGCTCGCATTTTTTTTTGTTCCCCACGCAGTGTTGTGTGACACGCGTCATCTTGTGACGTCAGCACGTCAGTTCCGCTCCTGTGGGCACAGCCGGCGCTGCACAGAGTGAATAAATATAGCCTAGGATCTAGATCTAGATCTCGACCTAGCGGTGTGAGATGGAGCAATGAACATGTCATTGTTACAAGCTAGTGGTGTCTTTGGACTTGTGGTTTCATAGTCTGAGGACATTTTGTTTTTTTGTTTGTGTAAGTTTAATGCCACAATACCAGTAGGCCTACTACTACTACTACCGTACCAGGAACGAGGCAGTTTTAAGAAAATTATTTTTATAGAGTGGAAGCTTTAAAAGTGAATGCCCTTGAAGTAATGGAGTGCACGTGGGTATAGGCTACAGATATCTATTGTGAGATTACACTTTCTGTTGGCGTAAAGTTGCCCCCCCC